ATGCTGCAGGCCGAGGTCCCCCCCGCCCCCCCACGCGCCCTCTCTCCTCCGCCTCCTCCTCCTCTCCGCCTCCCCCCCGCCACCTCGTCCTTTCTCTCCCGCACGCTGACATCACCATCCGGGGACTCCGGGCCCTTCCCCAAAGTTAACCCTTTCGGAGGGGGGAGGGAGGAGCGGGGGCAGGGGGCGGGCCTGGGAGCTGGAGGGATGGAGAGGAAGTGGGAGGATGCTGGGAGGGATGGAGGGATGCAGGAGAGACGATGGAGGGACGGAGATGCGGAGCAAACAGGCAGGGGCTGAGGTGGAGCCACACAAAGGGAGATGAAGTCTGACAGGAGTCAGGGAAAGAGACAGATGGCAAGGGTGATGGAGACCACCAGAAACAGGGATGGGGCAAGAGAGGGAGATGGGGGAACACGCAGGCAGCCAGAGACAGGCAGAGACAGGAGAGATGGGGGGTGGTCAGAGAGACAGGGAGATGGAGAAAAGGAGAGAAGGTGATGGGGAGAGACAGAGATGGAGAAAACCGGAGAGAGACCGAGATGAAGGGAAAGAGAGTTGGAGAGACAGGGAGTAGGGGGTGGGGGATAGAGGCAGAGAGATATGGAGAGACAGATGGGAAGAGAGATGAACAGAGAAAACAGAGCCAGAGATGGGGAGAGACCCAGGGTAATGGAGGGGAGACCACAGAGAGACAGCAGTGGAGACACAGAGAGATGGGGGAGAGAAATTAACAAAAATAGAGGGATGGGGGCAGAGAGGGGCAAGATGTAAAGGTAAGGCGCAGGGGAAGATGGCAGGGGAAGGATGGAGGGTCAGAGAACAGGAGAAAAGTGGGAGAGAAAGATGGAAAGGGACCGGGGGGAGGAACAAAACAGAGAGACAGGTGGAGGGAGAACTGGAGAGAGACAGAGAGATGTAGAAAGAGAGACTGACAAAGAGAGATAGAGGTGGGGACCACAAAAGATGGAGGATACATGCAGGTGAAGGGCTAGATGCTGGGGGGATATGGGACAGATTGGACGGGCAGAGAAAAAGGGAGACAGAAGCAGAGAGCGGGAAAGCATTTGGGGAATTGCTGATCCAAGGCTCATCTCTGTTCCCCCAGACCCCCAAGCTGTCCACCCAGGCCTCCGTTCCCCACTAGCATCAGGACCCTGTATCCACCCACAGCCCAGGGTGCCGGGTTTTAGATCATCTTGGATCCATACCTCCATTTAGGATCCATGATCCTCCTACAGAGAAACTTCCAGAACCCCTTGAGGTCCCTGTGTTTTTTTTAGGCCCCTGTCTATTCTCTGTGCCCACCATTGGATCCCGTAGATCTTCATGTGGGCTTCAGTATAATCATATGTCCCACTATAGCTCATCCATGGACCTGTGCACAGCTAGATTGCCACGTGATCCGGGATTCCCCTGTATCAGACACCCAAAAGTGTTAGGCACCCATTTAATTTCCAAATCACCTATAGAGTGTACCCATGAACCTTAAGTCTCCTAGTCAACCACTTTCATTCCGTGAATCTATACTCAGTGCCAAATCTAAGCCAGATACTGTTCCCAGTATTGAGGGTACAGCAGGGAACCAAATCAACAAAGATCCCTGTCCTATGGAGCTCTCACTGCAGTGGATGAGACCAGAGATAAACAAGATAATCAAAATATATGGTATATTGGGAAGTCCCTGGTGGTCCAGTGGTTAGGGCTCCGTGCTTCCACTGCAGGGGGCACAGGTTCGATCCCTGTTAGGGGAAGTAGGATCCCACAAGCCTCACAGCCAAAAAACAAAACGAAGAAAACAAAACAAAAAAAGCACAAAATATATGGTATGTTACAGAGTCGTGATCAGTGATGAAGTGGAAACTAAAGGAGGAATGGGGACAGGAAATGTTTGTTGAGTAATTTTCTGTATGATTTTTTTAAAAAAATACTTATTTATTTATTTAGGTTGTGCTGGGTCTTAGTTGCGGCACGCGGGATCTTTGTTGCGGAATGTGGACTCTTAGTTCTGGCATGCATGCGGACTCAGTTGCAGCATGCATGCAGAATCTTGTTTCCCGACCAGGGATTGAACCTGGGCCCCCTGCATTGGGAGCATGGAGTCTTACCCACAAGACCACCAGGGAAGTCCCTTTATATGGTTTTCACTACCGTGCCAAGAAAGGCCTCCTCAGTGAAGGGACACTGAAGAAAAATGAGGGTCAGAGCCATGTAGATAAAGTGCCAGGAGCCTTCCAGGCAGAGGAAACAGCAGTGCAAAGGCCCTGTGGCAGGAGTGTGCCCGGTGTGTTATGGGAAGATTGAAGGAGCCAGTGTAGCTGGAGGGGAACAGTGAGAGGAAATGAGGTGAGGAAGCAGATCAAATAGGACCTTAGATGCAGGGTGACCAGGGAATTCCCTGGTGGTTCAGTGGTTAGAACTCGGCACTTTCACTGCTGGGGACTGGGTTCGATCCCTGGTCAGGGAACTAAGATCCTGTAAGCCGCGTGGCCACAAAAAAAAAAAAAAGGAGGGTGACCACATGTCCTGGTTTATGTCTATTATTCTGTAATTATTAATAGGGTCCGTTTTCACTCTCAAGTGTCTTGCTGTGGATGGAAAATTATATGATCATCCTTCTTACAGGTCATTGTAAAAGCTATGTCTTTTTTTTTTTTTTTTTGCAGTACGCAGGCCTCTCACTGTTGTGGCCTCTCCCGCTGCAGAGCACAGGCTCTGGACACGCAGGCTCAGCGGCCATGGCTCACGGGCCCAGCTGCTCTGCGGCATGTGGGATCTTCCCGGACCGGGACACGAACCCATGTCCCCTGCATTGGCAGGCGGACCCTCAACCACTGCGCCACCAGGGAAGCCCAAAGCTATGTCTTTTAGAGGGTACCTGAGGAATTTTCATCTAGGCTACCATTATATTAAACATATGTTCATATTTGTAATGTTATATACAGTTACATGTTATATGTACATATATTATATGGCATTATGTATAATAATATATGTAAACAGTATTACAGATAGATGGACTTGTACATACGTGTACATAGGTATATTAGGCTGAACAACGGGCCCCCAAAGATGTCCACATCCTAATTCTCAGAACCTGTGAATATGTCACCTACATGGCAAAATGGACTTTGCAGATGTGATTGAACTGAAAATCTTACGTGGGGAGGTTGTCCTGGTCATTTGGGTGGGCCCTAAATGTAATCACAAGAGTTCTTATGAGGGAGAGGCATGAGGATCAGAGTCAGAGGAGGAGATGGGATACGGAAAGAAACAGTAGCCAAAATGATGCAGCCACAATCCAAAGAAAGTGGGCAGCCTCTAGATGCTGGAAAAGGCCAGGAAACATTCTCCCCTGGAGCCTCCAGAAGAAACACAACCGTGCTGACACCTTGAGTTTAACTATTTTAACTCAGTGAGACCCATTCCGGGCTTCTGAACTGTAAGGTTATAAATCCGTGTTGTTTTAAGTTTTTGGTAATTTGTTAACAGCAGAGACAGGAAATGGATACAATAGGGTACCCAGGGGCCCAGACGCCTGATAGCTATCCTCCTCAGTGCTACACACACACACACACACACACACACACACACACACGGCTTATATGTTTGGTCTTCCCATCTCTGTCCAAAAGATCACCCGGCACATCCCAGACCGAGCAGTGTGCTCAATATATCTGCGACTTGTGGGCTCCACCAAAGTTGAGTACAACCTTTTCCTGGAGTGGGAGGGCCTCTTATGGAAGAGAGAACTAGGATTTCTCTAAGCCCAGCCCAAAGCAAACACCTCCAAAGACCAGGCACATTCCCGGACCTGAGCCCCAAATCTGGTGCAGGGAGGCCTCGAGCCGCCTAAACCACCTTGTCCGGGCATTTTACTTCCAGGATTCAAGAATCACCTCCTTTGCACCTGGCAGGACTCAGGGAAGATTCCACGAGGGAGACGCTGGAGGATAAGAGAGGTCCGCACAGGTGCTGCAGGTGGGGGTAACGGGCAGCCTGCTATGACGAAAGAGGAAATTGAGGCCAAGAAGGCGGTGGGACAGGCCAAACTCTGCCTGGGTCAGGTATTAGTGTTGAGAACCCAGGGCTCTAGTAAAATACGAAATCGGGGCCCAGGTGCAGGGGAAAACGCCCCGAGGGTGAGGGGACCCTCGCTACAGGCAGCCACGGGGTGGGGCGGGGCCAGGAAGAGGGCGGGGCTTAACGGGGAGCGGCGGGTGCACGGGCACGGGGGCGGGGTTTAGCTGGGAGAGGGCGAAAGGCCTAGAACAGGGGCGGAGCCTTAAGTGGCGGCGAGGGGCAGAGTTTAGAACTGGGACAGGGTGCGTGGGTGTGGAAGGGGTCTAGCCAAGGCGGAGCCAGACCGGGGAGCGGGGCCTACACTAGGGCAGGGTGGAGCTTGCAATGAGGAGGAGGGGCTCATTAGGGGCGGGACCCGGGCAGGGGGCGGGGCTTACACCAGAGCGTGCGCGCGGGGGGCGTGGCCTAGGTGAGGGGCCAGGCCGAGCGAAGTATCCCGCCAGGTGGGAAGGACTTAAGAACCGGGAGAAGTAGCCTCACGCCCAGGTACGGCCCTTAGTTGGGTGGCTGCGCGGGGAAATTCCGGGCGAGACCGTGAGTATTTCCGGTCAATATGGCGGCGCCCAGCAGAGTCAGGTGCGGGCGGGTTTGTCTTTAGTAGCGGCGGCGACACGAGGCCCGGGAAGGTGAGGTCCGCCCCGCTCAGGCTCCCCTCTTCGGAGAGGAGGGAGGAGACTTGTTGCTAAGAAGACCACAGGGAGGGCTTGTTGCTCTGAAGGCTGGGCAGTGGGGTTGCTAAGAGACGGAAAGGACTGCAGTGGAAATGGAGGAGGGGGTTGCTAGGGAGAGTAGGTGGGGCCTGTTGCTAGGGAGGAAGGAGGGACTTGTGACTTTGGGGAAGGGTCCTGTTGGTATGAGAGAAGAAAAGAGGGCTGTGGTTAAAGGGGGTGTGGGCAGAGTGGTTTGGGGTCATGCGGGGCCGCGGAGCTTCCCTAAAACGCCACCTTATCAGCAGACCCCCAGGAATCGACCCGCCAGGACGCCAGAGCTACCTCAGCGGGGACCATCCCCTACCCCAACACATTCTTCCCTTCTTTGCAAACAGCCCATGGCGAACCAAGGCTCCGGGAGCAGTCGCCTTCCCCTGGCGCTGCCCCCAGCCTCCCAGGGTTGCTCGTCAGGGGGCAGCGGCTCCTCCGCGGGCGGCTCCGGCAATCCCCCGCCACCGCGAAACCTCCAAGGTCTGCTGCAGATGGCCATCACGGCGGGCTCTGAAGAGCCAGACCTCCCTCCAGAACCCATGAGTGAGGAGGTAAAGGGTGGGGACCCGAGAAACTGGGGTGAGGGACGTGGGGACAGATATCTGGGGAGGGGCGGGAGTCCCGCTGTGAAGGCATAGTAGACTGTATTTGTGCTCGATAGGGTTATTGTAGACTGAAGGTCAGATCCCTGGATCCCTGCACTGTGCTGGGAGACAGAGAGTCTTATGCTAAAAAGAAAAAGCAAGGGCTCTCCAGAGCCAGACAGCCGTGGATTCAGCATCATACAGCTGTGTGACCTTGGGTATATCACTTCATGTTTCTGAGCGTCGAGTTCTTTAGTTGCAAGTTGATGTTGATGATAAGAATAACAGTGGTACTTCACAGGGTAGTTCTGAGGTTCCAGTTGAAGTAGGGCTCAACACAGAACCTGACACAGAGGTCGTGCTCCTGAAGGCAGCAGGATATTCTCATTAAGAACACAGGCTCTGTGGACAGACCGCTTAGATTTGACTTAAGGCTTTGTGGATGGCTGACTATGTGACCTTGGGCAAGTCGCACTTTTCCGTGCTTCCATTTTCTCATCTGTGAAGTGGGAATAACAGTAATCCTTAACCATGGAAGGTTGTTTCGGAGATTAATAGCAATATTTGTTATACATGATGTTTAGTTGGCGATGACAATTACAGTATACAAAATATGGTGCTAATTCGGTTACATCCATGATGTCATTGAACCTCTGGGACCATGAGGCAGGCAACAGGTACAGAAAGATTAACATCTTGCCCAAATTTATCCAGGACAGTGACCACGGAGCCTGGCCAAAAACCAAAAAACCAGCGGCCAGTTTTCAGTGCTTATCTTATTTGACTTACTAGTAGCATTTGATTACTACCCCCTCCCCTTGAGTTCTTTCTTCATTTGGCATCTGGAACAACATGCTTTTCTGCTTTTCATCCCACTCACTGGCTCTTCTTCCCCATCTTCTCTGTTGGTTCATCCTCATTCCCCAGCCTCTTAACCATGGAGCACACCAGGACTCTCTCTTCTACCCTCACTTCCTATGTGATCTCACGTTGACGTTTTCCTCTGATGATTCTTTTAATTTTTTTTATTTAAAAAATTTTTTTTTATGCGGTACGCGGGCCTCTCACTGCTGTGGCCTCTCCCGTTGCGGAGCACAGGCTCTGGACGCGCAGGCTTAGCGGCCATGGCTCACAGGCCCAGCCACTCCACGGCATGTGGGATCTTCCCGGACCAGGGCAAGAACCCATGTCCCCTGCATTGGCAGGCGGACTCTCAACCACTGCGCCACCAGGGATGCCCTGATGATTCTTAAATTTATATCTCTAGGCCAGTGGTGCTCTCCTGGGGGGGCAGTTTTAACCATGGTGGGGTCGGGGGGGTGGGAGGTGGGGGCAGTGCTGTTGGCATCTGGTGGGTGGAGGCCAGGGATGCTGCTCAACACCCTACAGTGCACAGGACGACCCCCACGGCAGAACAATCCAGCTCAAAGTGTCAGCAGAGTCGAGGTTGAGAAATCCTCGAGGTTGAGATCAAGGCTGGACCTCCTCCCTGAACTTCAGGCAGCGTACTCAATATCTGGCCTTGGGTGTGCCATGGACCCCTCAAACTTAACAAGTTCAGAAATGAGCTCTAGGGCTTCCCTGGTGGCGCAGTGGTTGAGAGTCCGCCTGCCGATGCGGGGAACAGAAGTTCGTGCCCTGGTCTGGGAAGATCCCACATGCTGCGGAGCAGCCGGGCCCGTGAGCCATGGCCGCTGAGTCTGCGCGTCCGGAGCCTGTGCTCCGCAACGGGAGAGGCAACAACAGTGAGAGGCCCGCATACCGCAAAAAAAAAAAAAAAAAAAAAAAAAAGAGCTCTAATCTCTACTCCTCTCACTCCACTGCTGCTTCTCTTGCAGTCTTCCCCATCTCCTTCTAGTTGTTCAGGACAAAAACCTAGGTGTCCCTGACCCCTCTTTTTCTTCTCACGCCCCACAGCCAGTCCATAGATCTAGCGTCTAGAAACGAGTCTGTCAGTAGAGAAGGTGCCCGGTAGGTACGTGTTGACTGAAGGACACTCAACTCTCAGATGTTGGCTGTTATTATTAATGACTGTTATTCCTGAGTTGATTATTGATGAGGTTTGCTTCTTTCCCCCACCCTCCCGCTCCGCCTCAACCCCCAGAGGCGCCAGTGGCTGCAGGAGGCCATGTCGGCTGCCTTCCGGGGCCAGCGGGAAGAGGTGGAGCAGATGAAGAACTGCCTCCGAGTGCTGTCCCAGCCCACAACCCCCTCAGCTGGTGAGGCTGAACTGGCTGCTGACCAGCAAGAGCGTGAGGGGGCCCTGGAGCTGCTGGCCGACCTGTGCGAGAACATGGACAACGCCGCAGGTACAGCCAGGCCCGCTCCAGCCTGCCCCCAGCCTCCAGGGTCCTGTCCCTTCTGCCTTCTGGTCTCCCTTCTGTCTCTTGCCTCCTCCTCCTAAGCCCTGGGTCCTGCTGCAGCCCAGCCCTTGTCCTTTGTCTCAGGGACCACACAACCAGCCTCCTCCCAGCCTCCCAGCCTTACCCCTCCATTCCGGCTCTGACTCAGGCCCCAGGTGAGACTGCCCTGTCCCTCCATGCTTGGTCTGCTTGCCATCAGGAGCAGTGATGGCGCCAGGTTCAGTCCACCACCTCCCTGATGCTCTCTGAGACTGACCATTTCACCCTAGTCTGCTGGGAGTCCATTGCCACTCCCTAGAGTAAGAGACAGGAGGTGGTCCTGGATGGGGTAGTCAGAGAAGGCCTCCCCGAGGAGTGGCATTTGATCAGAGACCTGAAGTGAGGGCGTGAGTCATGGAATTAGCTCTGGAAAAAGCATTCCAGGTAGAGGGAATGACCAGTGCAAAGGCCCTGAGGTGGGAACCTGCCTGGCCTGTGTGGGAACAGCAGTGAAGCCAGCAGAGCAGAGTGAGTGAGGGGCGAGGTCTAGGAAGTGATGCTGGGCATACAGGGGCTCACGGGCCAAGGCTGGTGCTGTGGGTTTTATTCTAAATGCTGAGAAGCCCATAGAAGAATGAGTGGTCACTTCCACTTGGAGGGGTGTGGTGTGGTCGTTGATGGTGTGGATTTGTCTGTTCTGGACATTTTAGGTACATGGAATAGTAGAATATGTCACCTTTTGTGACTGGATTCCTTCACTGAAGGTGATGTTTTCAAGGTTCTTCCATGTCTTAGCTGTATCAGAACTTTATTACTTTTTGTGGCTGACTGAGACGCCAGTGTGTGGATGGGCTACATGTTGTTTATTCGTTCATCAGTTGACGGGCATTTGGGTCACTTCCCCCTTTGGTTACAGTAAATAATGCTGCTGTGGACACTGGTGTACAAGCATATGTTCAAGTTTCTGCTTTCGATGCTTTTAGATATATATGTAAGAGTTGTCACAGGGCAACTCTGTATTTAACTTTTTGAAGAACCACCAAGCTCACCAATACAGAAAACAGGTGGTAGGCTATAGTTTGCGGACGTCTGGTGTGGTGTGTTCTCCCACAGGGGATGTTCTGATTGTCACAAAGACTGGGGGTCAGAACTGGCATTTAGTGGGCTGGAGCCTGGGACCCTGACCCTCCAAATGCTGACATTGTTGAGACACACTGGCCTTGGACAGACCCCCAGTTGGGTGCTTGGGGAGAGCCTGCCCTTGGGGGCAGGCTCCCCTCAGCCTCACCTGGTGTATTTGTCCAGTTGGGCTGCCGTAACAAAGCACCACAGACTGGGGACTTAAACAACAGAAGGCTCTTCTCTCACAGTTCTGGAGGCTCGAAGTCTGAGGGTTGATTTCTTCTGAGGCCCCTGTCCTTGGCTTGTATATGGGGGCCTTCTTGCTCTGTCCTCATGTGGTCATCCCTCTGTGCATGTCTGTGTCCTAATCTCCTCTTTTTTATAAGGGCCCCAGTCATATTGGATTAGGGCCCCATCCCATGACACCGTTTCACTTTAATCACCTCTTTAAAGCCCTGTCTCCAGATAGAGACATATTTTGAGGCCTTGGGGGTTAGGGCTTCAGTGTAAATCTGTGGGGACAGAGCTCAGCTCATCACACCTGGCCTGTCTGCTCCCCTCTCTCTACACAGACTTCTGCCAGCTGTCCGGCATGCACCTGCTGGTGGGCCGCTACCTGGAGGCGGGGCCTGCGGGGCTGCGGTGGCGGGCGGCGCAGCTCATCGGCACGTGCAGCCAGAACGTGGCAGCCATCCAGGAGCAGGTGCTAGGCCTTGGCGCACTGCGCAAGCTGCTGCGCCTGCTGGATCGGGACCCCTGCGATGCTGTGCGCGTCAAGGCCCTCTTCGCCATCTCCTGTGAGTGTCCCGGGGGCTGCCGGGGAGGGGCTCGGGTCCCTAGGGCTGGTGCCAGCTTCCGGATCTGCTTTGGGGCAGAGAGAGAGGGGCCTTGTGTGTTCGTTTATCCCCAGTACCTGCCGGGGCTCTGCTGGGTGCTGGGAACAGAGCAGTGAGCTTGCCACACCTGCCGCTGGTCAGAGAGCCAGAGCCTCACAACACGGGACGAGGCCCAGCTTGAGTGCTTTTAGGCCCCTCAGGGCTCTCAGTCTTGGCACTGTGGACATTTGGGGCCCCGATCACTCCTTGTCATGGGCGGGGTCCTCTCGGGGGCTGCTTGAGTGTCATCACAGCTCAAGCTGGGCAGTCAGCTTCTCCCAGAGAATGCAATCCAGGATGCCAGGCAGGAGCTACAGGAACTATCAATTCAATGCCCTTTATCTTTTTTTTTTTCCTCTTTTTTGGTACCTCTTAAAACCCACCCCTGTCTTGTGCCTCCCCGCTTCCCTCTCATCACTGGTAACCACTAGTTTGTTCTCTACATCTGTGAGTCTGCTTCTTTTTTATTATATTCAATAGTTTGTTTTATTTTATTTTTTAAAAAATATTTTATTTATTTGGTTGGTTGTGCTGGGTCTTAGTTGTGGCAGGCAGCCTTCTTAGTTGTGGCATGCAAACTCTTAGTTGCAGCATGCGTGTGGGATCTAGTTCCCTGACCAGGGATCGAACCCGGGCCCCCTGAATGGGGAGCGTGGAGTCTTAACCACTGCACCACCAGGGAAGTCCCTCAGTAGTTTGTTTTATTTTTTAGATTCCACATATAAGTGATAACATACCATATTTGTCTTTCTCTCTCTGACTTATTTCAGTGAGCGTAATACCTCCAAGTCCATCCATGTTGTTGCAAATGACAAAATTTCATTTTTTTCTTACGGCTGAGGCCTTTTATTTTTATTTATTTATTTTTATTTTTGGCTGCGTTGGGTCTTTGTTGCTGTGCACGGGCTTCCTCTAGTTGCAGCGAGCGGGGGCTACTCTTCCTTGCGGTGTGCAGACTTCTCATTGTGGTGGCCTCTCTTGTTGCAGAGCACAGGCTCTAGGCGCTCAGGCTTCAGTAGATGTGGCTCGCAGGCTCTAGGGCGCAGGCTCAGTAGCTGTGGCGCACGGACTTAGTTGCTCCGCAGCATGTGGGATCTTCCCGGACCAGAGCTCGAACCCATGTCTCCTGCATTGGCAGGCGGATTCTTAACCACTGCACCACCAGGGAAGCCCGAGGCCTTTTATATTTTTAAAAATTGATGTAAAATTCACATAACTATTTTCAAGTGTACAATTCAGTGGCATCTGTCTTCTTTTTTTGGGGGGTGGGCATGGCTGCAGGGTATGCCATCGTGTGGCAGCTACCATTTGGAAAGTGCTTAGGACAGGCCAGCCCTGGTGCTACGAGCCCTTTGCTTGGTCGGTCTTCTGACTGCTCCTGCGGCCCGGTGCATGGAGGCTCACAGAGGTTCACCCCCTGGCCGCAGACCAAGAGAAGGTCAGGTGGAGGAGTGTGTGAGAGCGGCAGAGGAGGTGGGTGGGGGCACCCCCAGGGAGATGCATCTCCAGGCCACTGGCATCTAGTGGGCTCAGGCCAGGGCTGCCGCTCAACACCCTCCAGTGCACAGGGCAGCCCCCACGACACAGAATGGCCTGTACCCGCATGTCAGCTGTGCCCAGTGGAGAGGCCCTGGAGTGAAGGGAAGTGGTTGCTCCTGGATCCGTCATGAAGGCAGAGCGGACGTGGAGGGTTGTCATGTCTTCCCCTCACCATCCGCCTGTCCTTTTTTTATTTTTTAAATTGAGTAATGTTTTATCTAACCCCATATATCCAAATTATTATCATTTCAGCCCATCATTATGTGGAGTATTAATGAGATATTTTACATCTTTTTTTTCACTCTACCTCTTTGAAACCCAGTGTACATCCTACATGTAAAGCACGTCTCACCTCAGGCTGTATTTTTAGCGGTCAGTGTGGAGCGTAGTTGTAGTGAGGGACGAAGTTGTGCTTAATGGGAACATGCTGTGCCGCTGCTTCACTTTTTTACCCTAAACTGAAATAAATTAAACTCAAATGAGGTTAACAACTCAGGTCCTCAGTGGCACTTGCCACATGTCAGGGATTTACTGGCCACGGGTTTCTGGGGGCTCCCATCTATCCTGGCCTAGACCCTGCCCAAGTCGGCGCCTCCTTGGAGGTGCACCCCTCAGGCTGGTTCTGTCATACTTGGAGGCCTTCCAGGGTGCCTGTCACCCTCACGAAGTAGTCTGGCTCTCTGGGTCTTAGTTTCCTCTTCAGTAAAATGGGATTCCTAGAGCACTCACCTCCTAGGGTGGTTTTGAGGATTAAAAAGAGGTAATGTTCCCATCAATGGATGGATGGATTAAAAAAACGTGGCTTATTCATACAATGGGATACTATTCAACCATTAAAAGGAATGAAATATTGATTCATGCTGTAACCTGGACGAGCCTAGAAAACATGCTGAGTGAAAGAAGCCAACCACAGAAGACCACATAGTGTTTGATTCCATTTATATGAAATGTCCGGAAGAGGCAAATTCATAGATGTGGAAAGCGGATTAGTGGTTGCCAGTTGGGGGGAGGGACTGCTAACAGGTATGGGGCTTCTTTTGGGAGTGATGAAAATATGCTGGAGTTAGATAGTTCTGGTAAGCCAACCTTGTGAATATACTAAAAACCACTGAATTGTATACTTTAAAAAGGTAAATTGTACAGACTGTGGAATTATATCTCAATTAAAAATATATTTTTTTAAAAAATTTATTTATTTATTTAATTTTGGCTGCCTTGGGTCTTCGTTGCTGCACGCGGGCTTTCTCTAGTTGCGGCGAGCGGGGGCTACTCTTCGTTGCGGTGCGCGGGCTTCTCTTGTTGTGGAGCACGGGCTCTAGGCGCGCGGGCTTCAGTAGTTGTGGCACACAGGCTCAGTAGTTGTGTTGCGGGCTCTAGAGCGCAGGCTCAGTAGTTGTGGTGCCGGGGCTTAGTTGCTCCGTGGCATGTGGGATCTTCCTGGACCAGGGCTCGAACCCGTGTCCCCTGCGTTGGCAGACGGATTCTTAACCACTGCACCACCAGGGAAGCCCCTAAATTAAAAGTACTTAAAGGTAATGCTTGCGAAGCGCGGACCCATAGAAATCGACGGTGATGAGGATGGTGATGATGCTGATGACGATATTGGTGATGGTGATGGTGATGAGGGTGATGGTCTCGATGGTGATGAGGGTGGTGTTGATGGTGGTGATGGTAGTGGTGATGATATTGGTGGTGATGATGGTGGGTGATGACAGTAATGATGGTGGTGATGGTGAGATAATGGGGACGATAATGGTGGCAGTGGTGACTGTCACCTCAAGGCCCCGCCTTCCCCCCTCCCCAGGCCTGGTCCGGGAGCAGGAGGCTGGGCTGCTGCAGTTCCTCCGCCTGGACGGCTTCTCTGTGTTGATGCGGGCCATGCAGCAGCAGGTGCAAAAGCTCAAGGTCAAGTCAGCGTTCCTGCTGCAAAACCTGCTGGTGGGCCACCCTGAACACAAAGGTGGGGTGGCCAGGGCAGGGAGCTGGGATGGTGCCTGGCGGGGAGTGCACGGGGGAAGGGACTGCCCCTCTGACCCCGTGGCCCTTCCGCAGGGACCCTGTGCTCCATGGGCATGGTCCAGCAGCTGGTGGCCCTCGTCCGAACAGAACACAGCCCCTTCCATGAGCACGTGCTTGGAGCCCTGTGCAGGTGCGCTGGGGCCCAAAAGGACCGCCCCCCCCCCCGTGGGGGCTAAAGGGTTTAGGGTCAGAGGGGAGCAGGAACCACGGCGCTGGCCCTCCCTGAGCCTCAGTTTCCTCACCTTGGGGGCTGCCGCAGCAGCCTGGGGAGGAGGGGGAGAGTCTTTCTTACACTCATACTCCCCCATCCCCCGCACGAAGCACAAGCAGGTTAGAGTCTTAAAACACGATGGAGCAGCTGGACAAGCAGGCAGCAGCTCTCACATGTGGAGTCGGCTCCAGGCCGGGCACTGTGCTGAGTGCCCTGTTTTGTACAAGTCTCATCGAAGTCCCTGGGCTGGGGCGGGGACAGGAGTCAAGTCCACGTTGCAGGTGGGGAAACTGAGGCCCAGTGTGGGGGAGCAGCTTGCCGAGGCTCCCGTGGTTCAGGGTGCTGTGCAGAGCGAGGTCCCAAGGGCTGCTCTCCTGTCCCCGCAGCTTGGTGACTGACTTCCCCCAGGGTGTGCGGGAGTGCCGGGAGCCCGAGCTGGGCCTGGAGGAGCTTCTGCGGCACCGGTGCCAGCTGCTGCAGCAGCACGAGGAGTACCAGGTACTGCTGATGGGAGGGGCGGGGGCGCTGGCCCAGGGGACCCAGCCGTTTTGTGGGAGGGGCCAGCCTGGTGCCTGCCTTCTGGGTCTCTGTGGTCTCTTCGCCCACGCTTTTGTTTACATCCTCTTTGCAATTCATGTGTTTCTCTAGTCATCATTCAGCAAACATTTATTGCCCCCCCCCATGTGACTCGTGCTGTGTTAACACCAGGGGGATTGCAAGGAGAACCAGAAGCTGGGGTTTCGAGAGTTAAAGAGTTAACGAATTCATTTAATTTTTTTTTTTTTTGGCCATGACTCACAGCTTGCGGGATCTTAGTTCCCCAAGTGGGGATAGAACCTGTAACCCCTGCAGTGGAAGCATTGAGTCCTAACCACTGGACCGCCAGGGAATTCCCCCAAACTCATCTAATTATTATCCAAATTATTTAATATTGTTGTTTACATCATATCATTCAAATATTTAAGTATTTTTAGATTGATAAATAAGTAAATGATAAATAGCAACAAATTAAATATTTGATTAAATAGGTAAGTAACTAATATGTGATAAATAACAACTCATTAGCTATTTAATTAGATAAAGGGTAACAAGTGATAAATAACAAGCAATAAATAACTCACTAAATAGTTAAATAGATACGTAACAAATAAGTGATAACAACTCATTAGATATTAATTATATAGATATTGAGTAACAAGTGATAAGTAACAACTCAGGTATTTAAATAGATAAGTAACAAATAAGTGATAAAGAACAACTAATTACATATTCAGTAGTTATTTAATTATTTAAAGGATTAAGTGATTTAGTTAACTTTACTTAAGTAATTTATCCAACCGTTATAGTACCGCCCAGACGCTGGTGCTTCAGCAAAGCTGGACACAGCAAACGTGCCAGCTTCTTGGGACTTCCATTGTGCTGAGATCATTCCTCTGTGGACACCATCAGGTGTTTGCAGAAGGGTGCTGGGCACTGGGTGTGAGGAGCGGGGGTGACTGGGAGAGGCACAGTGCCCGCCCCCAGGGGCTCGCCCCCTGACCTCATCACGAGAACCTGTGGAGATTTGTGCCCATGGGGGGCAGGGGAAGCCCCGGCCCTCGTCCGGCCTGTGGTTTTAGCCATCCTTGCTTGATGCATCCATGTGTTTGTTCCCTGAGCCTCTGGTGTGCCAGATCCTGGTACCAGACCATGAGACCAACCTGGTGAGGGAAGCCTCGTGTGAACCGGCCAACATGCCTTTTTTTTTGTTTTCAAAACAAATTTTAACAGCTTTATTGAGGTATAATTTACCTATATTGAAAGTGTGCAATGTGAGAAGTTTTACATATGTATACAGCTGTGGAAACCTTCATTTTTCCATCAGGGGCAGGTCACCCATGTGCCAGGTCCCAACCTGAGCACTGGAGATTTGGAGCAAAGGGATACAGCCTTGGTTCTCATGGGGCTCATGGGGTAACAGATAAAAATGTAGACAAACGCACACACAAATACGTATTTACAGATACATATCTATCTATACACACACGTGTAATACGTATCTATATAATTTAACATATACTGTTGTGTATAATATGACATGAGGAAGTTAGAACTACAGTGAGGAAAAATTAAACCAGTGAGGGGTTAGAGAATGGTGGGCTGTGATATTTTAGGTAAGGTGGTGCATTTGTTTCCTAGAGCTGCTGTAACAGAGTACCACACACTGGGTGGCTTAACACAGAAATGTATTGTTTCACAGTTCTGGGGAAAAGAAGTCTGAAGTCAAGGTGTCAGCAAGACCGTGCTCCCTCTGAAGGTTCTAGGGAAGAATCTTTCCTTGCCTCTTCCAGCTTCTAGTAGTTGCTGGCAGTCCTTGACGTTCCTTGGCTTATGGATACATCCGTCACTCCGATTTCTGCCTCTGTTTTCACATGGCCTTCTTTCTCCCCTATGTGTCTGTCTTAGAACTCTTTCCAGATATGTAAATAGAGGTGTGCTTTAATTTCAGTGTAATTCAATATTATAATTGCATAGTATTCTCTGAAGTAATTACATCATGATTTAGCCAGTCCTCTTTTGTAGGTATTTTTGTGGGCCCTGTGTAGAGTTAAATTAAATTACATTGGTGCTTTTTGAATAGGCCCCATAGTCATGTGGTTCAAAATTCAAGATGCATGAGAGGATAAACAGTGAAAAGTCTCCCTCCTACCCCTATTCCTATCCACCCAGTTCTTCCTGTGGCCTTCCTAAGATAGTCTGTGCACATACAAGGAAATGTACATATCAATTATTTTCCTCTTCCTCTCTTCATTTTGTGTAAATTCAGCCTATTCTGACCACTATTCTGCTCTTGCCATATTCCCTTTCATAACATATCCACGAGTGTGTTTCGTGTCGGTGCCTATGGCTTTATCCTCTTGGAGTTTGTTTCCACTCTTTCACTACTATCAACTCTGCTAAAAGAATAACCTTTTACACATGTAACTTTAGGAGTATGTCTATAGAACAATTTCTAGAAAGGGAAAGGCTGGGTTAAGGTAGGTTAAAGATGAAGTTACAGGGTTTAAGCGCCATGTCCTTAGCTGTTGCCAAGTTGTTCTCCATAGAAGTTGAACCAGTCGACACTGCAGCCATGAGGGTACTCAACTTTCCCACATCCTGGCCAGGATAGGGTGCCTCAAGACATTTGATCTTTCTTCAAGCTTTTCCTCAAGCCATTTGACCTTTCTTCAAGCTTATTGGTGAAAAGCAGTATTCCAGTCCAGTTTATGTTTGCATTTCTCCCGTGAGTGAAGTTGGGCATCTTTTTCCTTTTTTTGTGAACTACTCATTCATATCCTTTGCCCATTTATCTAATGGGTGGTGGTTTTGCAACTGATTCATTAAAGCTTAATTTTTTAAAAAAATTTTGATTGATTGATTGATTGATTGCTGCATTGGGTCTTCGTTGCTGCCTGCAGGCTTTCTCTAGTTGTGGCGAGTGGGGGCTACTCTTCGTTGCAGTGCGCGGGCTCCTCATTGCGGTGGCTTCTCTTGTTGCAGAGCACCGGCTCTAGGCGTGCAGGCTTCAGTAGCTGTGGCACGCGGGCTTCAGTAGTTGTGGCTCACGGGCTCTAGAGCGCAGTCTCAGTAGTTGTGGCACACGGGCTTAGTTGCTCCGTGGTATGCGGGATCTTCCCGGACCAGGGCTCGAACCCGTGTCCCCTGCGTTGGCAGGCAGATTCTTAACCACTGCGTCACCAGGGAAGCCCCCATTAAAGCTCTTGAAGTATTAAGTATGTTAGACGTTTGTGATGAGTTGCAAATATTTTTCACCTCAAATTGTTGTTTTTCTTTCACTTTTGTTTCTGACATCTTTCTGCTATGCAGATACCTTTTATGTTTATGTGGTCCAGTCTATCAGTGCTTCTTTCTTGGTCTCTGGAGTTTGTATCCATGGAAGGGATTTTAAGTAGGGATTAATCGAGGTTGGTCATTTCTGGGAGTTAGGACAAGCTGGAGGGGGCTGATGTGAGGACAGACCAGTGGGGTGAGACAGGAAGCTTCTGGGGTGGTGGGTGGGAGGGAAGAGGAGCCGTTTCTGCGGGCAAAGCTGGTGAAGGCAGGGGGTGGCCTCTGCACTCAGGGCTCCCAATCTCACACCCCAATCCAGGAGGAGCTGGAGTTCTGCGAAAAGTTGCTACAGACCTGTTTCTCCACCCCGACGGACGACAGCATGGATCGGTGAAACCCGGTGGCTTCTCTCCCTCTCTTTGTGGGAACCCCAGGCCTCCTGACTCCCCCTCACCCACGAGGCCCTCTCCCAAAGGAGAGGAGGGCCTTGATGGTGCCGGGGCGTGTCAGCCCGTCTCTTCTCAGCCCTCAGGAGGGGCGCTGAAAAAGGCACTGGCTCCTTGGACCCCACCTCTCGTGCACTCTCACTCCATTCCCCCTTCTCGTGTCCACACTGGTCTTCCAGTAAAGGTGTTTCTCCTCCACCACCTCCTTCACTGCCACCTTTGTCACCTCCCCTGGAGAGTGCCTTGGTTGGGGAGGAGGGGCACGATCTTAGGGGACGTGGGGAGCCATGGAGGGAACAGCAGCGGGCGGAACCTGGGAATAATAAAAGTGTTGCTATCTAAAGTCCAGAGCCATTGTCTTCTTTCATCCTCCTGGCCTCTCTGGAGAAGGAATGTGTGGGATAGTCCTCCTCTTTGGCCCCCACCGTCTCTGCAACTACTCCTCTGTTTGAGGACTCTCAACGTTATACACCCGTGCTGCTGAGCCTAAGGCGGAAGCCAAGTTCTTTCCCGGCAGGACGTGCGGCGGGGGGAGGGGGGGCGGAAATCACGTGGCTTCAGCTCTGCCAATCAGGGCTCGCCGTGTACCCGCTCGCGAGCCGCGGCCGGAGAACGGGGAGCACGTTGCGGAGGTCCAGCTGTACTGCCCGCGCCAGGGCTAGTGGTCACTCTGGGTACCTGGGGCAGGCCGTGGTTGGGCGTGGGCTTTGTCCCGACAGGAAGGCGCTAAGCCTTTTCTCCAGCCTTCTCCGAGATTGGGGGGCGAGCTGGGACAGAGGGAAACTGCCTCGCCTCCTTTAATAAATTGCTTTTCAGTTTAGTCAAAGGAGCTTTCCTTTACAACCAAGAGTCCTGACCGGTGGTATATTTCAGACAAGGAAGCTGAGCCCAGGGTGGTTGTTCCGTGGCCAAGTTCATAGCCAAAATTTAGTCCTGGGCCAATTCCAAAGCTGTGCCCCTCCTCCCTGTATCCTGGTTTCCTAGACCCATTTAATGCCAGACTAATTCCTCTCCTGTGGAATTTACTTGTACGGGAGGGAATGGTTATTTTTTCACTCCCCTTCCCAAATTCAGGATAAATTGAAAGGTAGCTACAGGATCCGAGAATTGGAGATAACATATAACCTGTATCACTTTTAGAGCAGATACGAGAAAGCGGCATTGGTCTTGCTGCCACTTCACCCAGCATTGGATGTGGTTGTCTGTCTGGTCATAGGCAGTGCAGTCCTTCCCCTTGGGTGCAGGCAGCAGGTCAGAACACTGGGCAAGCTGGCTCCAAGAGGAGGGAAGCTGGAGGGCTGAGCCGTGATGCCTATCCAATCCAGTGAATCATTCCTCAGCCTTTGGAAGGGGTGAAGAGGCAAGGAAAGAGACAGCAATAGAAGTTTCTCCATGTGGAAATGTGAGCAATGGGGAATGAGTGTTCCCACCAAACACTTTTTTTTTAATAAATTTATTTATTTTATTTATTTATTTTTGACTGTGTTGGGTCTTCATTGCTGTGCGCGGGCTTTCTCTGGTTGAGGCGAGTGTGGGCTACTCTTCGTTGCAGTGCACGGGCTTCTCATTGCGGTGGCTCCTCTTGTTGCGGAGCATGGGCTCTAGGCGCGTGGGCTTCAGTAGTTGTGGCACGTGGGCTCAGTAGTTGTGGCGCACGGGCTTAGTTGCTCTGTGGCATGTGGGATCTTCCCGGACCAGGGCTCAAACCCGTGTCCCCTGCATTGGCAGGCAGATTCTTAGCCACTGCACCGCCAGGGAAGCCCCCCCCAAACACTTTAAGAAGCTCCTTCCAATTCTAATGCAAAGAACAGCATTGTCGAGCTGTGAGTTCTGACAAGGTGGAGACCCAACTTCAGTCCTAAGCCCCTGCAGCTTCCCAGGTTCTTGGAGATGGACTTTGTCAGCTTCTCAGGTTCCATTTGGTGGTTTAATATGGCCAACCCCCTGCCCCTCAGTTCCTGAGCTTATGCGTTAAAACAGTGTGGCAACTATGCAATCGTATTGGGGAAAAAGCAAGCAAAATGCTGGGCAAACGACAAAAGAAGCTGATGTAGAAGATGATTCAAGGAACAGAAGGAAATGCCTCACAAATGCTTCAAGCTGTATAACAATAGTAACCTGTGTCCATTTTTAAACAAGACCTCAAAGATGAGAAGGTAAGCTTGGCAAACCTAAGGAAACAAATCGAGGACTGTGGTAATTAATAAATGAGATGGTTCAACAGATATCTGCTCCCTCTCATTGCACCTCCATGAGAGAAGTACATTTCCTCACCCATGGTGGGTGGGGCGTAGGTGCCCGCCCCATGACTTTGGGCTTGACCACGTGACTTGCTTTGACCAATGGATGGTGGCACATGTGAGGCAACCTGAGACTTGAAATGTGCTAACACAGTTTGGCCTGATCTGAGGCGCCTCTGTCTTTTCTTATGAGATGGTGCCCTGGGATGTCCATTGGTGCCCAGAGTACGAGAGACATGAGGAACAGAACCAGCCTCACCAACCTTCACACCTGCAGCTCTAAGCTGTGAGCATGATAGGTTGTGGTTGCCTGTCACTCAGCAGTAGCTAAGAACATCACATGCAACAAATACACTGGAAATAGCAAGGAGCAGAAGAGACACGGCTGTAAAATGAAATTACTGACATGTGGTAATCAGCAGATGCAGGTAGAAATGACAAAGATTAAAGCAATTACAGAGAAGCTAACAGATGTTAAGCACAAATGCATAACTGACATCCTTGAAATAGAGAACAAACAACTAGAATAGGATTCAGTGAAAATGTCCCTGAAATGGAAAAGGTAAATCTGCGAGTTAAAAAAAATTTTAAATGCCGATTCCTTACACGCACTTACAGCGCTGATTCTTACAGAAGGCCTGTAACATGGCAAGAGAGGGGTATGAAAATTGAGGAAACTGAGGATCAGAGCAAGATGGGACCTTAAAGAACATGGACACAAAGTCTAGGAGAACCCTTCCAGTCGATGTTGTTAGAGGATACTTGGTGCAGCGGCTGGCAACAGTAAAGACACGGCCTGGGCAAAGGCCTAGAAGTGGGACTGAAGTCAGCCCAAGGCACAGAGGAGGAAGGCGTCGAGAAAGATCGCGGCGGGACAAAAAGCTCTTGGCCGGGGTTGGAGAGAAAACCCGAGATGGATTGCTCAGGAGCCGACCCTGGAGCCGAAGCAGGAATGTGATTGGAGGAGACAGAAGAGCAAGTGAATATCCAAAGGGAGCGAGGGGATAGAGAAATTCAGGAGCAGGATTTCCTGTGGACTTTGGAACGGAGTCGCAGAGAAACGATGCCCTAGTGTGCAGTGGGGCCTGCGCACTGGGTTGCCTGGGTTTACTTAGGAAGAGACCGTTGGCACATATCGGCGCAAGCACTTCTGCGGCGGAGTTATTCTAGCTGGGCGTGCTCCGCAGCGGCTGGCCCAGCGCGCATGCGCACTGTAGGGCTCGGGCGCGTGGCCTCCGCACACCTGCGCACCGAGTCGGCGGCGGGAGGGCGGGGCCTCCTGCGTGCCTCCGTTCTCAAGGGATTGTGGGATAGTGGCGGACGGAGCCGGGCGTCTGAGGCCCTGAAGCCGACTGCAAAGCCCGGGAGCCTCGCCGGTGTGGGGAAGGGGGCGGTGGAGGAAGTGGGCCTCGGCTTCCGTCAGCCGTTGCTCAGCACTGCGGCCTGTTCGGGCTGTGGAGTAGGACGCCTTCTGTGACCGGCCCTTGCTTTTCCGCAGGGCGCGCCGGGCCGGGGAAACCGGGGCGACTTCCCAGCTGAGGGCCTACGTGGGCCTCGTGACTCCGCCAACCTCCCTCAGACACCTCGCCTGCGGGCCCCGGACCCCCGCTCCACCCGGCCGGCACTGACCCCCGAAACTCTGGAACTCGGCGCGCGAGGGCCCCCCTAGGCCCGAGACGCTTGCGCGAGCCCCGGCGCCAGGGCGAGACCCCGCCGCCACCCGCCGCCCCTACATACCGGCTCCCTGAGGAGGGGCCGGAGCCGCCGGCGGCGGGGCGGGGGGGGCGCCCCGATGAGCCCCGAGTGCGAGGAGCCGCCGCCCCCCCGCGCAGGTGAGCGGGCCGTACCGGGAGTCTCCCCGCAGTCCAAGCACCCGAGTCACCCTCCCCTCCCCCGAGTGCCCCGCCCAGGTATCCCTCGAGTCTCTTCACCCCTTCTCCTTCGGACCCTGTCCCTCGTTCGTGGGGGCTCTCCACCCCCGGTCTGTCCCTCTCAGCGCCCCAGGTCGCCTAGTCTCTCCCTCTCAGCCCCCCAGTCTCCTGTCTCTCTCCCCCTGAGGCCCCCTAGTCTCCTGTCTCTCTCCCCCTCAGACCCCCTAGTCTCCTACTGTCTCTCCCCCTCAGCCCCCCTAGTCTCCTGTCTCTCTCCC